ACTTAATTCCGCTTCAGGCAATAGTTCTTTGCGATTGTTGCCTTTGCTTTCTTCACTTGAGTCGGCCATGACGAGTTGTAGTTCAGCAATTACTCGATGACATGGCCTAGATTCCATTTTGTTCATAGACAGTCGCTTAATTCAAGCGGCCAGTGATCTCTGAGTCCTGTTTGACTAGCAGGCACACTTTATGCCGAGCAAATGAGATGTCACTCAGCTTCAAACCATAGTATTCTCGTTGACCAAACCTTACATTTGCTGGTACATGGTGTTACGAGGCATGATGCCTTGCCTCAGGGGAAAAGCGTTTCTGTTCTTCCTGGAAGTATTTTCTTCTTACAGCCTGGATATGCGTAGCAGTCATGGAACTCTGTATCCTTGCGAGATTTTCACAGCTGACATAATTTAGGGAGAGACTGTCACACTTTGGTCAATCGTGAACAGACAAATTAGAAGCAAAGAAATACCGAAACATTCACCTTGCTTTTGACTCTGTAAACATATACCGTATCGATGCCAATCAGCCTTAAGGATGAAGAGAGTTAGCGTAGGTGCGCTTTAATGGAATGTTATGGAAGATGGAAGAATGAAGGATTCGCTACCTTTTCGGTAGATGGCATTAGTTAACTAATCGGCGAATGGCATACTGCGAATCCACCCAAATGCACCTAGAAGGTCTGGAAATGTGATTTCTGGGTGTTATTGTCCGAAGCATCACTAATCATCGTTGCATCTTATCTCAACCGCCGGATGCTGCAAATGTGTCGGATCAAGGAGATGGAAACTGAGAATCATGTGAGTGTTTTACATAAACCGATCACGTCGGCAAAGTCCAACTGTTGTATTCACTTTTTCCTGCGCGTCGTCATTTGTATTGTTAGCGTACATTCCGAATGGAGTTGCAGTCTTTAGAGCCTATTTGGTAAAGCGTTCGAGATAGAGAGGCATGTAAAGGCTTCTAAAACTGCGAAACAGTAGTCTAAAATCCAAAGTCGCAGGCATTCTTACCTTTCAAATTAGTTCATCCGATGTCTACTACATTTGTTATTAAAATTTGAGATCGAAGTGCTAGTCAAATGGTGCCTTTTACTCCCAGACAGTGCATTGATTTTAAACGCTCTTTTATTGTTTAACACATTCGTGAGGACTTTGGTGATTGGCCTGGAATAAGCAATAAAAAGAAATTTTGATTTGCAAGAAAACCACTCATTATCAATTTGGACATTTGTTTCCAAATGCCTTGACATCTAATTAGTGACGAGCATGATACTGAGTTTGGAATAATTAAATGAACGCAGATGCCATTATATTTTGGGCTGACTAGGTGAGGCATTATTACTCATGGTATATTTGCGAGGGGATGGAGACCGGAATATCGATGACGGCTGTCCCTCCAAGAGATCTTTATGCTCACTGAACGCTTCTTGCCTGAGATGAGCCTTCAAGCAAATACGTATTGCATCACCCCTGGACTATTTTAGGCACTGTTTCAGTGCTCTTCACATGAGTGTTCTCTTCCTATTCTATCAGCCGTGGACTCTTTTCTTCCGGTATTCACATCCACCCTTGTACGGTTGCGTATTGTTGTGCTGCAAGGCAGTTAATTGAGCACATACCTGTGCTTTGAGGAGTTAGTTTGTTGGTGAGATGAATTACATTGAGCGAAATGCATCTTGGCCTATGGATGATGGGACTTGCGGTGTACTGCATGTGACGCTTTGGAGGGATTCGGCTCCGTGTTGACAAATTTATTGACTATATACGACATAAGTGACCGTTTCAGCGTCTTGCTTCTTCATGGGTTCCTCCTCGTTTGTACTTTTGAAGCTTAGTGGTTCCCTCTCTGAGTGGGTGGCAAAAGCTCATGTTGTCAATGCCTACACTTTCCTCAGAAATGCTTGTTAACGTAGACTGTAGACATTGGCCCGATCGATGTGAGATGGTGCTATTTAAAGCTGCTGCAACTAACTCAGGGTCGGTAAAAACCAATTACGTCTGGAGTGATCTCAGGCCAACAGTACCCTTTCCTTCGAGGCACCTAGCATATCCTTTTCTCACACACAGTAGAGATGCTCGTGCCACTCTAGAAGAGCCGTTTGAGTCAGTGAGTTTAGGACCACTAAGCGCTTAAGCGGCCTAACACCTTCTTGTTACAATAAGACTTACTTTTCAAGGGCCAGTTTTGAACATACCTGCCATGAGGGTGTAAAGAATCACTTGTACACCAGAGTCTTGTCGAGATCCTAGATCAGTGATCTACACCTTTCCCGCTCCAAAATATGGCACTTGCTGCACTGCAACGCCAGCTGTTCGCGGAAGGTTTGCATAACTGTGAGGATTCCCATTACTCTATTGTACTATAAAGGCCTGATGCTACAGTTCCTAATATCAACCTGCAACCAACAGTCCCCTTCACTGTTTTAACAAGGTCGGCCAGCACTTAATAATCCGTTCTCACTATGATCTTCCACACTAACAGGTTGTGTCTATAGTGTCTGACTACAGTGAATATAACAAGAAGTTTGCGTTGTGTGCACCCTAAACTATTAGCCAATACACTTGAACGACTGCAACTAGAATTAACCTCTTTAGCGCTGTTGAGCGTGCGACATCAAAAAATTCATTAATTTTGAGACCAATCGCCCAATTAAAAGATTTAACATTAATTAACGAATGCTACTTTTTGGGCAATCACGTGAGGAATCGCTTTAACATTGCTAATAAAGCAGAATGAGTAGGGAAAAAGTTGCTTATGCCACCGCGTTTCCGGAAAAGTGTAAACCTTTCTAGCACATCTAATGTCAGGTGCGATCTAGTTCTCACTTTGTATACTGTTGTGGTCTTGACATAATAACCCCATCGCCGTCGCCAACACTGTCACTTCCATCTCCTTATTCTAATAAGTATGGAAAGTTACGCTATTTCAAATGCTTCAAATTGCTGGTGAATACATGTTGCTTGTGCAAGAAACGCCTTTTATGGTGCATACAGATGCACATATAACTAAGGGAGATGTTTTGTCAAACCTGCACTTAGTACCGTAATACAAAACACTACCTCTGTCTTTAAAATATTCCATTCAAGGAGCATTACTTAAAAGAGATAAATTCGCCTATTTAAGATGCTAAGTTATGCGGTATCAGTGATCAAAAATTGATTACGTACCTTTCACTCGTAGAAAAAACATCCATTCAGTTGAAGTAACTGGTGCTTAGCGAGTCCTTTGGACTACTGAGCCTACAGAATTGCCATTTTATCATCTCCGAAGGAATAATATTTGTTTTTGCTAAGCTTTACGATTGCTGGCTTGCATTCCTACAAAAAGTGGTGCCTCGCCTTGTTAGAGGACCAGCACAACAGAGAAGGAAGAAGAAATTGGGCATAGAGAAAGTTAGTAGATACAGCGAAAAATCAAGGCTTGAATCTCTGTAATTAGAGCTATCTTATTGTCAAAGTGTATCTCTGACAATTGCGGCATTTCCACCATGAGCAAATCTAGTGGATGTTGCGTAAACAAAGGAGTCGAAACAGGCTGATGTCTATCCTCTTATATTTTTCAGGATTGCGAAAGAAAGGAAGAACCTATGCGCTGAAGAAGCTACACCGCACTGCATAAATTGCCATTTGCGACTTAAGCATGGAGTTTTCGGTAATGCTACTAAATTTTAACACAACGGCGACGGAATGGTAGCCAACAAATTACTGCTCCTAAAAGGGAAGCTAGAACAAGCGAAACAGGAACAAATTAATTACTATTATCGGTACTTAAATGATAATTTCGTCACTCTGATTTGGTCAGCTACTACGACATCATATCCAACTCCGTATCTTAGAAGATGCTCACATGATAAAAAGTAAAATTTGCACATGGTTTGACAGCCATCAGATGTTAGCCCCGGGTTTTTAAGAAGTGGTTGATTTAGTTTTATTTTACGAATGCAGCGCAAATGTGATAAGAAGCTAGTCAGGAGTGCGAGAAAAGCACCACCACGACAAGGAAAGTATGAAGTGGAAATCAGCATCTCCTACTCATAGACGTGGTTTTTTATAGTCCACACACCACAACATGTGCGTTATGTATTTGTCTGCATCAAGTTCTAGAACATAGGCTTCGTTGATTTCAATAGTTTTATGAGTCTTTAGACTGCAATGAGTTCCATGAATTATAAGCAAAATCTCTTTTTAAGCGCGTGAACTTTTTTTTAATTGCGGTGACTATGCTGCAATTTGTGGAGCATACTTAACCTACATGGATTGACTTCATCCACCACTCCCTCGGATATAGTTTATTGTCTTCCTGGAAGTCAGTTATGGCACAGAAAATAATTAGTTTGTTATTAATGTATGGATAGGAGAAAAGTATGAGAGGCCAATGG